GTGGATAGTAACAATCCCGGCATGAACAGATAGATGAAAAGTAGGGTGACGAGCAGCGAGCTGAATGCGAGAGCGAGCATTTTGGAGCAACTCGGTGTACTGGCGCTGACAGCCAGCGACTGAGCAGAAGTCTGTCTCAGCGCCGTTGGGGGAAGAGATGAGCGCGCAGGAAGAAAAGAATGAATTGAAGTGAACAGGAAATTAATGCATCGAACTGTATCACCTAAGCACCTTGATTTTGATCCGGTGGCTAAGCGGCTGGGAGTTGCTTTTTTCGGCATCTACCGAATCAGTTCCCCCCTCCCAATCTCCTGAGCTCGAGCAAATGATCAGTCTTAATTCCCCCTGCATCGAACGATACTTCATAGAGCATTTAATACTTCCATTCAGCATGTTACAGATTAAATTATCGTTGCAGTTCGCCCCTCAGATACCGAACCTTAAGGTAGAAGTCCTCGCGACGCCGCCGGAAATCCAACGGAGTTTGCTACTTAGCACAGCTTCGCTATGGGTATCCCTGTTTAACCTAGTTGAAACAACCGTATACCGGTCGCCGCAAAACGGAGCATCCAATGGAAGGACGTTCTGGAATCTCTGTCAAATGATTCCCAAAAACTCTGCTGCATAACAGATATCGACTCCAAAAACTTGGTCGACATCTCCTACACACCAAAGTTTTCGGAACCATCCCCCACTTAGTCTCAAATCGACAAAAGATCTTGTGATAGAAGGCGTACGGTGATGAGTAGTCGCCGTAGAATGTCAGTAAATGCGCTGCAGGAATCAAGCAGGAATAGCGTACTGCGTAAACACATACGCCTGACATTGATGAATAACAACGAGACGTCACTTCCCAGCTGATAGAACATCGTAGAGAAGATTTTCAGGCAAAGTCAACGCTTCAAAATGGGCAGTTCTTCAGAAGACTGTGGCAAATTGAGGAGCAACACCGTGAAATACTACTAGTAACTGGGAGTACCATGACGCCAAGAGACAGAATTTTACAAACATCATTAACAGCCTGCAAGCTCAGGGTACTCTGGATCACAGGTTGCTCTCAGGAACGGCTGACGTCGAAACTCCACTGCGGAGAAAACTGCGCCACAGACTATAAGTGCTGCGCGTCATAGATACTAACGACAGGTATATAAATGCTTTCCACAACAACTCATCTAACTAATTGAACAATGTCCAACCTCTTGAATAAAGTCAAATCCAAAGTTTCATCCCACCATAATGAAGGTGGCGAGGAACAAAGCTTCTCCATTCAACCTCATCCTGCTGTATGTCCATCGGTCTTCGATCATTCTATACCCCGTATACTGACATGCTATGAATGCGTTACTTAGAAAACCAACAACCCAGCCGATCTCCAAAACCCTGCACCGGGAACTGGCATGGGACTGAACAACAACGAGCAAATGGGCCCTTTTCATGCTCGAGACCCCCACGTCCCGACTGACCCGCAGGTTCTGGAGAACTTAGGCAGGCAGGAGGTTAAGGTAAATTGAGCTTCGTTATGATCTTCTCCTCTTTAATCCAAGTTTGTAGGGTCGCGACGAGTTGAGAGCTCAACAGGAAGAGCTCAACAGGAAGTAAGGGAGTCTTATCCCCAAACTTTCATTGATTGACAGCTCATCTACATACACATATGATATCATTTCGTCCATTGTAACGTTCTATTACGCTACCGTCCTTTCATGACTTGTAATAATGGCCAGTGTACTAACAGCCTGTATCCGCCAGCATTACCCATAGTGTAATCTCTCTCTGTACTCACCACAGAAAGTGCAGCATAATACATTCTACGTCATTCATATTCTTTTATGTTCGCTCAGAGTGCGAAACAAACAGGACTTGGCACAGAAAGGTGGGCTGAACTAAATTAAACGAGATTCTCGCTCCTTTGACTGTCCGCAAGCTAGTGCCACTTAAATATGTCGAGATCAGTGTATAGAGCAAACACGCTCCGTCGCGTCCATTCATAGATGATTTTATTTCGTATCACTGAAGTCCTATGCCCTGTATTTCGTTAACAATCTGCTTTTAAAAGTGTCCTCCGCACGTCGTTCTCCGATCTCTTTCATTCTTTATCGCTAGGTGGATAAACACTAATCTCGCCGTCCCAAGGTTCAGGATCCGGGACTCTGAACCATTGAGTATTATTTGCTGTCTGATACGCGATTCCCGCGGTAGAACTGCCGCTCGCTCGACTAGAAGTGTTGGCACTCGTTCTAGTGGCTTTACTGGCATACGGCGCCGGTTGTGAATGTACACGTGAGGTAGAAGCAACTGTCTTCGGAGAAGCACAAGAGTACTGATTCATAGGTTGAGAATGTGGCAAGGACGACGTAGAGGCGGTGGGGCCAAGCGAGGAACTCGGGCGTTGGCTAGTCGGTCTAGGTTTTGACCAGCTAGTACTAGGCTTGCCCATTGTGGCCGTATTTAAATGGCGTAGAAAAGCTTGCTTGTCCAATCCTGGGGAATGCGATATCTCCCAAGCCCAGGGTTTTTATACCTCTCATTCTTATTGTGGCCAACAAAGGCAGATACTTGGACCAGCTCGGTGGGACCATATTTGACAATCTGCCAGAACATATTGTCAACAAAGGCGGAGTTGCGGCCCTTTATTCCATGTGACTATAGCAATGATGTTGAATGCCGAGGCCACAATTGTAGTTCACGACAAGGAGATCTCTCCTACGGTCAAGTCAGTTTGGGCAATTGAATGGGAGACAGACGGCTGGAAGAAATATGGATGAGAGACAGAGCAAATATGGATATACATACATTAGAAAAACTGATTCGGAGAAGCCACAGGACTTGGTAGAGTTTTTGCCTGCTGTGATTTTCTGCACTGAAGAAGTCGATGTCTGGTCATAGAATTTCAATGAATAATAAGAAATAAAGCCCAGGCGAGGCTTGTACTCTCTCTGGTGGAAACTGGGAACTCTTCAGTAGAAGGGGAGGCATTAGTTTGTACTTCGTTCAATGGTTTTAAAAGAATGTCAACACCACAAATTCGAACCCGAAGCGTCCACACATCAAATGAGGTGACTCGAGATTGAAGGGAAAAAGCTATTACTAGAGAAGCAGAAAAGGCGCCCAGTCGAAAGACGGGCGTTAATTGTGCCTCACTTTCAAACTACCACTAGCAGCCATCTATCGACTGAGAGTTTCCAGATGTCCGACGATATACATGTCGCATCAATACATGCTCTCTATTTACGACTAAAAACATACCCTCAACCTTCACAATATACCATTCTCGCCGCACTTTACCTTACAAATAATGCGACTTCTGAGTGTAAAATAATCTCTCTAGGGACAGGAACCAAGGTACGCACCTGCCCAATCGCAAGTTCCTGGTCGAGAAAGAGAGATTTTGATTCCGCCAACTTGAAGTGCCTTCCAGAGAATAGATTAACAGCGCATGGGGAGGCAATCCATGATAGTCATGCGGAGATTCTTGCGCGGCGAGGAGGAATCAGATGGCTTTTGGAAGAGATTTTGAGAGAGCGCGACTCTAAGAGCAAATGGATTGAACGGCAGGAAGATTCGTATCGTCTCCGAAACGGTGTTGAGCTTCGAATGTACATTTCCACGGTGCCTTGTGGTGATGCCTCGACGCGCTTCCTCGCTGCCTCTCAAGATCCCGACATGGCTACTTTGAAAGATTCTGCTGTCGTCATACCTCCTGAAGGTGCTACTGCTCGTGGTCGGAACAATTATCATTTGTACAATGTTCTCCGTACAAAGCCCGGCCGAGCCGACTCTCCGCCAACTCTATCCCTGTCGTGCAGCGACAAAATCGCCAGCTGGGCATGGCTTGGATTTCAAGGCTTTTTATGTGCTAGATTTTTCCTTCAAGGGATCTATATAACGAAAATAATAATCGGTGAAGTCCTTTCAACCGACGACGTCAATCTAATTAATAGTGTTGCTGAGGATTGTAAAAGGGCGCTGGGCGGTAGGCTGGAAGGGCTCTTACCTGACATCCACAGAGGTCCGCCGTTTCTCCATTGACAAAGTCGGAAGCCTTATTCTAGCGCATAGGTGCTTACGCCCTCCATATACCTACAATCGTCTTCACGTCCATTCCATTTGTTCATTCCCGTACTGTGCTCGGTTTCGGAACGGCAAATACTTCGAGCCATGAATGTTGGTGTTTTCATATCTTCGTCTTTGTTGGTGAAATTCATTAGCTGCACCAACAGCTCTTTGCTGGTGGGCAGATCCTTTATCGCCCCCAACGCTGCTACAAAGTGAGGTAGAAACCGGGACCGTCCAAGTAATCATTAATGGCTTCAAACGCGGTGCATCACCAAAGCATAGACAAAGACTGCAGGATGATAAATTTCTGTGAGTGTTTGTGACACTTTTTCTCGTTCTGTCTCTGAATGGCATCTCGCCAATATCTGCGATCGTTCCATTGTCGCCTTGAACTTGGTGTGGATCGTTGATCGTTGACATTGAGTTATAGACCGTACTTGTGCAAACTCTCCATGTTCAGGCTATACGCCAGAGTTTGCAAAGAGATCTATAATGAGGAGATATCTAGGTACGTAGTGAGACATCATTTTCCTTTTTATGCCATTTTCGTTTTTCTTCTGTTTCAGCTCATTACCGTACTCCCATTCCCATTTGTAGTACGCAGTCTTACTACGACATCAAAACTGGTCCTGGACCTATTCACTACTACTACGAAGCAAAAGCTCTACTAAAGGGACCTTCAGGGCCATTTAGTGACTGGTGGGGAAGACAGTCGGAATTGCCTCCTGGGTTGACGGAGGAGGATCAGGATGCTGAAGAATTGTCCTTCCGGTCTTTGGCACCGCAGCTTGGGTGCTGGGAGAGGTTCAACATTGAAGGAAAGGTTATATACTGACAGCATGATCTGTAATTATTTTTCGGACTAGAGTAATTTTCTCTGTGTGGCAATCACAGGAAGTTGGCACTGAGGCACAACAAAAAAAAAAAAAACACAAAAGATATCGAAATGACCACCGCAGGGGTCGAACCTGCAATCTCCTGATTGATCGATTACGTAATCGTAGTCAGACGCGATGCCATTTCGCCAGGCGGCCATTGTTTTGAGCGGTAGAGGCATAAATATTACAACATTTATTAAGCGTTTGAAGATGTGTTTGAAAAAGTTCAAGATATAGTGAAAAGGCTTGAACGCAATAACTAACCATGTACATCCAGTGAAGTATACAGTAAAGTACAAGGAGAAAAGAACAATCCATCGTAGCAAAGGAAAATCATCACCCGCTATCATAAAACGACCAAAGATCGGCGGCTCGTTCAAAAAAAAATATGGGCCCTCGAATCGTAAGCTCATGAATTCCGAAACTACTGAGCTTTTGCGCGCCGTTTATCGCCTTCAATCTTTTTGATGCGCGCGATCTCCTTCCCTACGTCGTTAACGAGGCGCTTGTGCATCTCAGGTCGATATCCGAGGGCAAAGAGGACTTCAAGATGGACGAAGAAGGGCGCTAGAAAAATAGCTGTATCCATGATGATGAGATACATACAACCTTTTGAAGAGAGTGAATAAACCTAACCTCCCACTAGATTGTCCAATAGCGCAGGGGCACGTTTCTCAGCCACCCCATGTCCAATAAACTGCGCGATCCAACAGACCGTTTGCATAGCAATAGATACGGTGAGATGATCTTGTCTCTGAGCAAACGCGGTAGCCGTTAGAAGGGAGAGGGCAAATTGGGGGACGTAAAGTAGCTAGATAGAATGGATCAGACGAATCAGATATCTGTGGAGAGCTGAGACACAGCTACAAACAGCAGCAACGGGTTCCAAAGTGAAGTAATACGCCTGATATAACGAGACAAGAATAGCAGAATAGTTCAAGTCAAAGACGAGGTATTTGTTGAATTCATGGCGGTATTCCGGTAAGAAGGAAGAATGTGGGGCACTTGCAAGAAGAACTTGGGCTGACCTGAGCAGAGCACATGGAATGAAGCGAATGAATAGTGAAGTCGTTACTTACCACATAATTAGCGGTACACAGATGACATGAATGAGAATGTTGTACTTGTTGGAATGATACGCGCCGTAGAAAGTGAGCTGGGACGAAGAAATGGTAAGATTTGGATGAGATGGGATGGAAAAGGATTACCTGGGTATGAACGTCGAAAATGGAACCAGGCATGATGGAGGTAGTGAAGAAAGTCGCGGTTGCGGTTGCGGTTATATGTGATCACCGGCGGGTGGACGAGACTCAGACTACCAAATCTGGAAGCTACGTAATGTATTATGGAATAACCGAGACTTGGCCTGGACACGTTAACTCGATTTCGCCATGGTTCGTTCCACAATTATTGTCCGCGCATCAGATGCCCTCCCTCTCGCGGCCAGCGTAGACGACGAACAGGTTCGCTTCCTACCTTCTCAACCCTTTCCTTCTTACAGACTCAACCGTATCAGACAGAACAGGCTCTGCAAGAGCATAAACAGCAATCCAAGCTCATATTTCGCAGAATCTCCCCAAATTCTGAACCAAGGTGCTCAATAGAAAGTGGACAGTATACGCTGCAGTGTGTGGGCTTATTAAAGCGAAAAAGAATTCGTGCCTGACGCTGCCATTGCAGCTACCTCATAGCAGACAATGTCGTGTTTTTGACAATTGCAGACAAGTCTTACCCTCGAAAACTTGCATTCTCATACCTCGATGAACTTTCCAAAGAATTTGCTACTTCCTATGGACCAAAAGTTGAAACTGTGCGCAAGCCGTATGCTTTCGTAGGTTTTGGTGCGTATATGTTTACCGAGGGTTACAGGCATGTCATTGAAAATATCGCTCTTTCAGATACATTCATGTCCAAAACTGCACGGTTATACCAAGACACAAGAACAGCTAGTGCCGCAAGTGGCTCTGGACTGAATAAGTTAAATGATGAGCTGCAGGACGTTACCAGGATTATGACCAAAAACATGGAAGAGCTGCTGTGGAGAGGAGATTCACTGGACCGTATGTCTTCATTTTTTAAATACTGAATGTTTCTTGAATGGCTTTCAGGCATGTCACACTTATCTACGTCTCTACGTTCTGATACGGAAAAGTTTCGCAAGGCTGCTCGAAATATCAACCTGCAGGCCATGATTCGGCAGTACGCACCTGTCGGTGCGGTTGCCCTCATTCTTATCATCTTTATATACTGGCGGTTCTGGTGAATGAATGAACACTGGATATCATACCATACGACTGGAATATTATTCGTGTATTAAAACTACTACGTTTCTCTGAGATACAGTATATCTTATCTCCGGCTGCCGGAAGCCTCAAGGCCAGAAAACAATGAGTCCACGGCTCCCTGCCCCCCCTTGAACTGCAACTTCCATTCTCAGCAACCTCTGTAGAACGATGTACCGATCGCCCTCGCCTTACGGTTCCCCGTATACAGCCCCTGCAGAGCCGCATTACTCTCCGAATCCTTACAGTGCTGCGACACAATCGCCTGGCGGAGGACCTGCAATCACTCCAGGCTCAATAACATATACAACTTCCACAGGTCCCGACGGCCAAATCATCTATCATCCGTTCAAGTGAGTGGGGCGGAACCAGATTTGCTCGATCTTCGTACTGAACGTGGCCCCCTCAACAGAGCTGTTCCTGCAAGGTAAGCTCAGAAGTATTGTGGCAACCTACACTCTGATGAATCCGATATCGATAGCTATCAGACACCCACCGGTTCAGTACTTTTTCCAATGCTAGCCAATCAGCCCACACTAAACTCCACTCTGCAGGCGTAGTTACAGGAATCCAGTGGGTCCCCGCTGAGGCGACTCATGTGCGTAGACGTACTTTGCTGTTGTCACCTTCTTTCTAACTCATCCATAGATCTTACCAAACGGAGCACAACCCGCAAGTGTTGTCAGTAATTTTGACCTTGGGTCGTGATCGATTATTGTCTAAAGCCCTGGTCTTTTAGGACTTTGCTGAAGCATGGAGCAGAGGAAACCTTAGCAAAGAAGATCAAAGGAATCTGAGAGATTGGTGAGTTGATAGGATGTTGATGACTCGATTTCATTTTTATTGGCATCACCAGGCAACGCAGCGAAGAAAAGCGGAGAAAGAAGGAAGAGAAGGAGTCGATAAAAATCCTCCGAGAAAAGGAACGAGATCGATACAGTCCAATGCGGTACGAAAATGACCCAGATCTTCGTCTCGCCAGAGAACGAGATGCAGCCGTCGTTACCGCTCATCAACGGCGCAAAAGCTTCAGTCAAAGTGTCCCGCCGTCCTCCGTCACATTCCCACCTGGCGGAGTTCCTAGTTATGCTGGGTCTGAACGAGACCGGGCTGCGGGATTCAATGCTCCGGGTCCATACACTGCTCCTAATTCTGGGCCCGGAATGGGGTATCCCAGAGAACGTAAGTATAGCACGGGAGGTTCTTTGGCCGAACAATTCGCCGATTTGGGCCTTGAACATGAGTCGAATCTACCCCCGGGCTCACTTTCTCGTCCCCGCAAGTATAGCACACATGAAGCTGCCGCTGAACGTGCTCGAAGGATGAGCGGAAACTTTGGGACCGAACGTCCGCCTAGCACCGGCGGGTTTCCCAAGCCACCTTTTCCTGGTACGGCGTATTCCAATCCCTCACCAAGGCTCCGATCTGCGGAGCCGCCGTACATGGCGGCCCCGAGACCTTCATCTCCGTATGGTCCTCCCCCAGCATATGGCGGATCCACAACTCCGTACGGGGCACGAGCAGCGTCTCCGTACCAACGCGGTTCCTCCCCATACCATCGTTCGACGTCTCCTTTCGCGGGAGAAGTTTACCCCCCAGGACATATTATGGAAGGGAGACCTGTAGTTGGACCTGGACCCACAGCTCGCTCCAGAGGGAGTACCCCCATTCCCGGCGGGATGCCTGCCGGAGCGTATCCGAGTGTTCAAGGTTCAGTACCAGGAACTTTGGCTGCACCAGATTGCTTCTCGAGGCCGCTCAATGCCGCACATCCGTATACACCTTTTGAGCCAATGAAAATTGACGATATGGATTTTCTCCTAGAAGGGTTGCCGCCAATGCCGGTCGTGCTTCAAACACACGATGTTTATGGTGAGGACTGGAGGCGTTTCATGGATGTAGGTATTTTTATTCAACATCCTATCACCCTCTCTCACTTTCGAAATTTAGGATGTCGTCCTCGCTTGGTCAGGTCGTCTACCAGTTCCGACCTCGCCAATCAACGGAAAGGTACCAAAAAGGGCTACCCTCGCGGCCAAACTTATCGAGCTTTGGAATCACTCTTTCTTCGAGCGCCGAGGTGTTGAACTTGTTCTTTACAAAGGCCGCGAACGACGATCCGGTCCGCAGTACGGGATACTCGACATGCCTTACTACGACGACGATGACGATACTTCCTCGTCCTCTTCCTCCTCGTCGGATTCAGACGACGATCCTCGACTAACTGGATTTTACGGCGGACACGGAACGCAACATCCTCTAGATGCGGCGGATTCACGAGCGAGACGGCACGCTGCGAGAGCAGACAAAAAGAGACGCAAGAGGGAGAAGAAACAGAGGCGTAAAGAGAGGGAGAAGAGATATTCTTTGTTCTTGTTTTGCTTGCCGCAAGGAGGACCTGGCGGAGTAGGTTCCATATATGGAACCCCAGCCTCGGCCGCAGCAGGTGCATATGGTAGGCATTCACCTGCTTTGACTGCTTCTGCACTCAGAGGTGCTTCTGCTGCTGCCGCTGTGGCTGGAACTGCTTACTCCGCACCCGGCACATCTATCTATCCCGGTATGACATCGACAATTCCTACAGCAGCTTATGGCACACATTCACCGGCTCGCAGAGGGCCATCGCCTGGCCCTCCTATTACTTCTAGTTATCCTGGGATGATGCCAACGATCTAATTGTATAATGCGCGATCTTGTTCCATGCAGCCATTTCCTTTTCTCTTTGTAATGTAAAGCTATCATTTTTGCTGGATCATACAGTCGTACAATGGCCCAGAATTTAACTTTTGTTACATCGAGTATATAGCAAAAAATCTATAAAGTACAACTCCAATCAAATATGTGTAATGCATATACACTATCTTTGGATAGAGG